GGTAGATTACAGGCCTCCCATTGCTGCTGCCAGGCCCGTAATCTGCCGTGGGCCCCTGTACCGCCTCTTCATGCTGCTGCCAGGTCCAGAGTGTCTCATGGGTCCCTGTACGGCCTCCCATTGCTGCTGTCTCCATCGCCACACTCTGCGATGTGCCACTTTCAGGTCTCCTCACACTGCTGGTGTGTTCCATTTTTTGTCATAGGGTGCTGGCAGATTACGGGCCTCCCATTGCTGCTGCCAGGCCCCTAATCTGCCATGGGCCCCTGTACCGCCTCCTCATGCTGCTGCCAGGTCCACAGTGTGTCATGCCATGTGCCACTTTCAGGTCTCCTCACACTGCTGGTGTGTTCCATTTTGTCATAGAGTGCTGGCAGATTACGGGCCTCCCATTGCTGCTGCCAGGCCCCTAATCTGCCATGGGCCCCTGTACTGCCCTGCTCATGCTGCTGCCAGGTCCACAGTGTCTCATGGGTCCCTGTACGGCCTCCCATTGCTGCTGTCTCCATCGCCACACTCTGCCATGTGCCACTTTCAGGTCTCCTCACACTGCTGGTGTGTTCCATTTTTTGTCATAGGGTGCTGGCAGATTACGGGCCTCCCATTGCTGCTGCCAGGCCCGTAATCTGCCATGGGCCCCCGTACCGCCTCCTCATGCTGCTGCCAGGTCCAGAGTCTCTCATGGGTGCCTGTACGGCCTCCCATTGCTGCTGTCTCCATCGCCACACTCTGCCATGTGCCACTTTCAGGTCTCCTCACACTGCTGGTGTGTTCCATTTTTTGTCATAGGGTGCTGGCAGATTACGGGCCTCCCATTGCTGCTGCCAGGCCCCTAATCTGCCATGGGCCCCTGTACCGCCTCCTCCCCCCATTGCTGCTGCCAGGAGGCAGCAGGGTCGCAGCAGTGTCAGTGGAGGCAAACGGCCACGGAGTAGAGCACCAGCTCCACTGCAGCCTACCACCACGGCCAGTAGTGGTGCCGGTGTGCACAGAGGAAGTAGCAGTCAGCCAGTGAGGAGTAGCGGGGGCAAAGTTTCCTACTCGGCGGTGTGGCAATTTTTCGTCAAGCCGCCCAAGGAAGTAAAACGTAGCCGTATGTCGACTATGTGGCCAGAAAGTCAAGCGTGGCCAGGGGGCCCATGTTGGGACTACAGCGTTGCGTCAGCATATGCAGCATCGCCATTCGGTGGCCTGGGAAAACCGTGATAAAGATACCGCGGTTCTGCCTGCCCCAGCCCAGGGTTCCATTTTGTCATAGGGTGCTGGCAGATTACGGGCCTCCCATTGCTGCTGCCAGGCCTTAATCTGCCATGGGCCCCTGTACCGCCTCCTCATGCTGCTGCCAGGTCCACAGTGTCTCATGGGTCCCTGTACCGCCTCCCATTGCTGCTGTCTCCATCGCCACACTCTGCCATGTGCCACTTTCAGGTCTCCTCACACTGCTGGTGGGTTTCCATTTTGTCATAGGGTGCTGTATGTCTCCCCATTGCTGCTGCCAGGCCCGTAATCTGCCATGGGCCCCCGTACCGACTCCTCATGCTGCTGCCAGGCCCGTAATCTGTCATGGGCCCCTGTTGTCGTTTGTTGGCATATTCCGCTCGTTCAGATGCTCCTTCTCCTGCTACTCCTCTTCACGGATTCCGTCAGCAGTCTTTCTTGGAATCCGTTTCCAAGAGACAACAGTTTGCGAGCACTCACCCGACGGTGCAGAAGCTGAACGTCCTCCTGTCCAAGTTGCTGCTGCCAGGCTCGTAATCTGTCATGCGCCCCTGTACCGCCTCCTCATGCTGCTGCCAGGTCCAGAGTGTGTCATGGGCCCCCGTACCGACTCCTCATGCTGCTGCCAGGCCCGTAATCTGTCATGGGCCCCTGTACCGCCTCCTCATGCTGCTGCCAGGTCCAGAGTGTGTCATGGGTCCCTGTACGGCCTCCCATTGCTGCTGCCAGGCCCGTAATCTGCCATGGGCCCCCGTACCGCCTCCTCATGCTGCTGCCAGGTCCAGAGTGTCTCATGGGTCCGTGTACGGCCTCCCATTGCTGCTGTCTCCATCGCCACACTCTGCCATGTGCCACTTTCAGGTCTCCTCACACTGCTGGTGGGTTCCATTTTGTCATAGGGTGCTGTATGGCCTCCCATTGCTGCTGCCTCCCACCGCCACACTGTGGCTCCACACTCTGGTTTTGGCCCCGTGACTGCCCAAATGAGTGAAGTGTGCGGTGATTCTAAGATCGACGGCACTCATCTGCATGTCATACTGACTGATAGTATTATTTCTCTTCCCCAGCAGACTCCAAGGGCATTTAAATTAAAGGTACAGTGTTCTGCACTAATATAAAGGCTCTCTGAAGCCTAGAAACAGCCTTTTATAAAGTTAAATTCGCAGCGAATATATTCGACTCGAATCAAAATTTTTTCACGAATTCGCCGAATCAGTCGAATCGAATTTTTGAATAATTCGCTCATCTCTAGTTGTCATCCACATGGAGGTGAAGAGCGAGTGAGTGTTTGAGTAGAAAAGTGCAGGAACCTTTCCGCACTGTCCTGCCTTGAATTCTAAAGACTGAGATACCAGTAGGACCTGAGTTCTCAAGGAGCTGCATTTGAGTTTAGGAGTCCAGCCAGTATAGACCCACGTGAGAGGGACCCAAAAGGTTAGAATGACATTCAGAAGACCAGAATAGAACCTGTAAGTGTTGTGTACATCCTCCACTCTCCTTATTTCTCCATGTACATGTGCAAAAAATCTATATAAACCTCAACCAAAGTGACTGAACATCCAGAGAGAAAAGAATCACTGCCTGAGAGGAATATAGCTGGAAAATGTTTTGGCAAGTAAGTGGGCCTGGGACATTCACCATGTAGTCACATTATAGTAAGCTGAAGGTAAATATCTTGTTTTATTTATAGACTGTGCTTCACCCTAGTGTTACAAAAGCAATGGGAAGTCATGGGGGATATAGCAGTAGCTCAACCCTTAACCAAGCTTTCAGGATGTCATGGCCATGAAGGTGACCATGGGACATTTCAAAACAGTGAAGATCCACCCACTCCGCCCAAAATGTGGGAAATGATTCTGAGTCTGGTTGCTCTTTCACCTCCACAGCTTCCTAGTTGCTTGAAAGTATTAGACCATATGTGACTGTGAGTTTGATCTTCACTGTTTCTAGATAGTGATCAGCAGCCCAAATTTGGCAGCAGTGTGGAATTACGCCTAATGGTGTCAGCAACTATGAAGGAGCTTCCTCTTTGTGGTATTCTCAACTACAGTACAGTACATGGTATGGCATAAAACACAGACACTACATTACTGTAGTTCCACTTAGTGCACAAAGACATTTCTGTGTGTAACGTTTGCAGAAACTCAGTTAATCTGTATAAGTACTCAGGCAGAGTGATAACAAAGGTCTACTCACTGTCTCCTACTTCATATGCAAATCTTTGTATGTGTATTATAATACAAACCTGAGGAGTATATTCAATTAAATATAGCATGTAAAGTGTACCTCCTTAACTTGATGGTCTGGTAAGTATTTCCTCTCATATTGGTGGTCAGTGGGCCCCCTGACCTTGGTGTTTTGTGAGATAGTGCTCCTTTTACAATGGTGATCTGCGTGCACATTGGTGGTCCGTGTCCCCTTACATTGATGATCAATGTCCCTTTACATTTTGGTGTTCCCTTACATTGGTGTTTGTTTTTATGGGGTGTTTATTTCCAGTTAGTATTTTGTAGTACCATCACAGGTGGCGCCAAAGAAGATAGCTACTGTGTACTACTGCACTTGGCAGTTCCCTGTAAGTAAGAAGTACACATTCTTTTGTCATGTCACCCCATCTAAAATGACATTAAGCCCTGATTCACACTGATGCAGTGCAGAATTCGCAGCATTTTCAGTGCAAATTCCGCACCGCATCAGAATCGCATCCCATTCATGCGAACCGCTACGGGTGTGTATGTTAAGTTAACAACGCCCCGAAAGCGGTCCGCAAAACGCGGTGCGATGTGCAGAATTGGATCGCATAGGTGTGAATACCCATGCAATCCGATTTTAGTGTGGACCAAAAAAAGGGCCCTACACGTTACAAAATGTATGGCTCCAATCGCACCGCACACAAATCGCATGTGATTTGCACAGGAATTCCGTGTGCTGGGGCGGACTGACAACTCATGGGGCCCCCGGGCAATAGGGGATCATGGGGCCCCTGTGACCTTGCCCAAACTCAAAAAAGCCTATGAAAAAGGTACCAGGGGCATCTCATGGGGCCCCCTACTGACCCCGGGCCCTCGGGCAGTGCCCGAGTTTCCAAATGGTCAGTCCGCCCCTGGCGGTGTGGTTCCTGTGTGAATCACATGCAATGTACTGCACCGCATGTATGTGAACCCAGGCTAAATATGACATTAAATCACCAGGTCCTAGCTGGTGATCACTCACCGACACCCGGTGATCTAGGAGCATTACCGATGGAGGGAGAGAACTGTAAGGACTCGTTCACACTTGACTGTTTTACCAACTCTTGCCAAACGCCCCTATAGCGTTTGGCAAGCGTTGGACCGGCGTTTTGCGGAACATTTTTTAACGCTCGACAAACGCTCCGCAAACGCCGCATGCACGGTTCAGCGGCACTTGCTAGGCATTTGCAGAGCGTTTAAAACGTCCTACAAATGCCTATAATGAAGTTTGAATGGTGTTACCGCTCCGCAAATGCCCCGCAACCACACCGCAAACGCCGGCCGGGCGTATGCAGAGCAGCACCATAGGCTAGAATAGCAGGCTTCCACGCCTCCTGACTGGACCAGAGGCATCCGTTTAACGCTCCCGTTAGAACAGCACCATGTGCTGCAATGTGCAGAATTGTCCGAGGCGTTTGGGAAGCGTTTTTCCCAAACGCCTTTCTGCCGCCTGCACACAACGCTAGTGTGTTTGTAGCCTAAGTAAGCAATACAGTTGTCTCCCCTGTGAGTTCCTGCACATTGCTATGCATGGCTTTGCATAGCAGAGCCATGCAAACAAGTGTGCTTACAGTAAAGCACACACACAGAACACAGTAAAAACATCCTACAGTTAATCCTCTGATTGCTCCTCATGTTAACCCCTTCCTGCCCAGTGCCATTAGTACAGTGCCAGTGCTTTTTATTAGCACTGATCACTGTATTGGTGTCACTGGAGATGTCAGTGACACCAAGTCAGTTCCCCCCAGTGTCAGAATGCCTGCCAGAGTCTCGCAGTCTGCTATAAATTGCTGATTGCTGCCATTACTAGTAAAAATAAAAACAATTAAAAATCTCAGTATGTAAACCGCCACATTTGTAGACGCTATAACTTTCCAATTTCCAAGTAAACCAATTAATTTACACGTATTGTGATTTTTTTCTTAGAAAAGACATGTAGCAGAATACATATTGGCCTAAATTTATGACGAAATTAGATTTTTTAATTTTTTTCAATGGACATGTTTAACCACTTGCCTACAGGGCACTTATACCCCCTTCCTGTCCAGGCCAATTTTCAGCTTTCAATGCTGTCGCACTTTGAATGACAATTGCAAGGTCATGCAACACTGTACCCATATGAA